ATATTAGATTAAATACAATATATTATTAACATAATTTCACTTGTTTCTTTTACTCTTTTAAAATGCAGCCACTAGAAATTTAAAATAACATATGGCCTATATTGTATTTCTTTTGCAAGGTGCTACTCTAGAGGATAGTCAGTGTGACAGGTAGGCTAGTGAATGCGTGGCCAGAATTTACCAAATCCCAAATCTCATGTGTGAGCAGGCTCCCACTACAGTCAAGGAAGGCGTTGTGTCTTTTTGCTGTAATGAATCACAGCCATGAATATGACTATATGCTCAGTCCCGGGTTCTTCCAGCGAATCCCTAATCCTAGGGGTGATCTTGAAGTCCCTTGACACATGAAGTACTATACAGAACCCACTGCAGGGAGATTTGAATGTGAATAAGTTTTGGTTTGATTTTCTTTCTTAAAGAGTTAAGAGTTGGAGCCCCTAGATACACCTGGCATTACAGAATGTGGATGGGAGACCCAAAGCACTAAAGCTGAGGCTAATAGTTCGTGGAAAACTGGCCCTGATGAAGACTTCTCAAAAGACACCAGTTCAGTTCTAAATTTTCCATTAATTTCTTCTTTATATCTTCTGTTTCTTTGAGGGGACTTTCTAATTCTTTGCTGGGACTATTTTTTTCACTTGTTTTAAGCATGGTCTAATTGCTCATTCAAACATTTTCCTGATGCTTGCTTTAAAATCTTTGTCAGTTAATTCTAACTTCTCTTTCACCTTGATATTGACATCTTTTTTTCTTCATTCACTTAGAGATATGCCTGGTTCTCAATAAGATGAATGATTTTCTATTAAAACATGGATGTATTGGGTATTTTAACACTCTGGATCTTTATCAAAACTATCTATTTTAGCTGGCTTTTCCTGACACTGGTTTGGCAACGGAGGGCCTAGAGGGAGCACCATCTTTGCTAATGCCAGGTAGAAGTCTAGGTTCCCTATTCTGTCTCTGTTGACACCCATGAGTAGGGTAGGGCTCTTCATTACTGGTGGGCTGCAGTGGGAGTTTCAATTCCCCACTAGGTTTCCCTTGGGGTTGGAGTGCCTCATTACTGTCCCCCACTGGCACCACTGTGGGGAGGAGTGGCCTCCTTACAGTGGGCAGTGGTGAAAGTCCTGATTCTCCACTTGGCCGTCCTCTGATTCCACCAAGGCAGAGACAGGGAGGGGTGTCTCATTACTGTGAGGTAGGGGTGGAATTTCAGGCTCCCCACGTGTCTCCAATGACACCTTGAGGATGGGGGAGGGGCGCGGGTGGAGAGGTCCTTGTTACCAACCAGCCAGCAGTGGGAATGTAAGTGCTGGCCTTCTCTGACACCACACCAGTGGGGTTGAGGAGTAGGGGGATTAGGGTGTTAGAATGTTGGGGTGTCTCATTATAGCCTGGCTAGTGTGCAAATCTGGACTCCTCACTCAGCCTTTGCTGGCATGGTGGGGGTAGGGCCTTAGGTTTTTACTGTAGAGTGGTTATTTTCTGAAAGTTATCTGTCTTGGTAGGCTACAGCTTTTTCATCCTTTGTCTAGAGAGTGGCCTTTTACTAGCACATTTTTGTCTGTGCCTGTTGCTATTTTCAGGTTTCTGGTTTTCGTCTTCTTTTGCACCCAGTATGGCAACATAAAGCTAAATGAAAATTTATGAACTTATCATTCAATTCCTCTTTGGGTCCTGAGGTTTCTAGCTGGTATGCTTTCTTTTCTCCACCTGTTTTATATAGAATGTTCCGAGGTTTTAGTTGTATTTATTGGGAGGGATAGAGAAAAATATACCTACTCCATCTTCCCAGAAGCAGAAGTGAGGAGCCTATAATGAACTGAAATGCAATTCAAATAAAACCAGTGGCAGAGACTTAGGGAGAAGTTGCAGTGCCTTTCAGACAAAGATCGGGAAGGCAACCAAATAAAGAAAGCCAGCCATAGGCAGTAACTGCCTTTGCAAATATAAGAATATCTGCAAGCACTCTCAAAGAGTAATCATTAAAAATCATAATGCTTATGATAAAGTTCTATAAAAACCTCAGAGCCTTAATTTATACATCTGCATAGGGCTTCTGAGGGGAGATATTAAACTACACGGTGTAGAGATATGGAGAAATTGTGACTTTCGCCCTGGTCCTGGTTGAGTCAAAAGAATCAAACTTTTAATGCCATTCACTCCCTTTTCATTAAAAAAAAAAAAAGAAAAAAAAGAAAAGGCAAATTAAAAAGATCTCATGCCTAGCTTCATTTCTGCCTCCTATTTCTGAGCCCCCCTTGGAGTCCTAAGAGAACACTGTTCATAGGAGGCAAGCTTTGTAAAGTAATACTAATTTTCAAGAAAAGAGCCCTATAAACAACCTAGAGAAACAAAAACAGTAGCTCACAATAAAAATGACAAAAACAATCTGATTGGATATAAAATCTCAGGAGGACTGGGATATAAACTTTAGGAGCTGGGAGATCAATTGATATGTTGTCCCATGTTGTAAATAGCTCTGCTATGTAGCTTGACATAGTTGAAAGGCAGGCACATTTCAGCAGTTAATTATAGAAACCTATCCAGGGAGCTACATTTATTGGTTGCAGGAGGTCTATTCCAGCTAAAACCTAAATAAACCAAGAAGAGAAGGTCAGGTAGAAAATGCTAGGAGACTGTTCAATGGCAGAAATGATTTTTTTTCTTTCCTTTTTTCCTCCCTTCCTTCTTTTTGGTTGGTGTGGAGTAGAGGGTCGGGGTGGAGAGACAGCCAAAGAAGGAAACTATTTTTGTACCAGTTACAAATGAGAACCTGCACTTTGTACCAGTTCCTGGAAACATTGCTAGCATGCCCAGAACAAGGAGAGAGCCTGCATGGAAATGATCCAATTTCTTCGCTTTTTCTGTAGGCCCTTCCAAGTCCCTGAGTGACTGAGCAAAAGGTCAAAGTCAAATCTGTTGATTCTGCTACCTAGATGAAAAGGTTGAGTGAGCACCACCTAGGCAAATGAACAAATAAAATGAATTTAGGGGTGTAGTGGGCACCCTGGGGTTCCTCACTCACTTTCCTTCTGTACCACTCTTCTGCAATGGCTGCAAGTCTTGCTTTGGCGTGTCGGTGGCTCCCAACTCTTTGGTGGGGTTTGTAGGAATGGCAAGCCCTGCAATGATCGCCAAAGGGTTGAGATTACAATATGTACATCAATATGTAGATCAAGCACAGACAGAAGAATGAATAAATCTCTCTGGCACACATACACCCATATATACTACTTTCTGGACTCTCACGTACCTTTAGTTTTGCTTACAAAGTGGATGCAGAATTTTCAAACATTAGAGAAATATATATTGGAATAGAGGGTGTAACCTAGTAATTCCACCGTTCAAACAGAACAATGTTATCAACTGGTTTTCTTACTATTTTTCAAATTTCTTAAAGGAACTGTTGGAGTAAATAAACTCGAATTAAAAAGTTGTATTCATGGCAGATTTCTGTGATTGTTTCCCAGTAAACAGACGCCAAGAACACAAATGCTAGCATGTATCACTGCAGTTAAAAACAGGTTCCATGCTTAGAAAACTTAAGAATTTCTTCTCTTGCCTAAATATTGCAGCAGCAGCTGTGAGTCACAATTTAGCGCTTGCCTGCGAGAAGGCGACACGTGCGGTCACAGCCCTGGGAGGAGGCGGGTCCGGGGAGTCAGGCGCTCGGGGGAGGCGCCTGAGTGACAGCCGCCGCCTCTCCCACACCCTCCGCTTCTCCGTAAACAAGCGGACTCGCCCGCAGGCCGCGAAAGAGGGCGGAGCTTGGAGCGGGGGCGGGACCGGGGCGTCCGACGAGCGGCCTTCGAAAGGCCTCCTATTGGTGGTTCTCCAAGTGCCGGAGGCCCTGCGGATCTTGATTGGTTCGCGCCCCGGATTGACGGCACCTGTCCCGGCGGGC